TATATATGAGAGCTATATCTACATCTGAACCGAATTTCACGAAATTTAAAACACATCGTTCTAGATTTCATTCAGAACGCAATGCCAAATTTCGTGCCAATCGAAGGATATATCGGGACTTTGGTGCACCATGTATATAAAATCTGACGAATATATATATGGGAGCTATATCTAAATCTGAACCGATTTTCACGAAATTTAACACACATCTTCTAGACTTAATCCAGTACCCTATGCCAAATTTCGTGCAACCCGAAGGATATATAGGGACTTTTGTGCACTATTTACCTAAAATCGGACAAAAATATATATGGGAGCTATATTTAAATCTGAACCGATTTTCAGGAAATTTAACCCACATCGTTCAAGACTTAATTTATTACGCTGTGCCAAATGTCATGCAAATCGAAGGATGTTTAGGGCCTTTGATGCACTATTTACCTAAAATCGGACGAAAATATATATGGAAGCTAAATCCAAATCTGAACCGATTTTCAGGAAATTTAACACACGTCGTTCTAGGCTTAATTCAGTACGCTGTGCCAAATTTCGTGCAAATCGAAGAATATATAGGGACTTAAGTGCACCATTTACATAAAATCGGACGAAAATATATATGGGAGCTATATCTAAATCTGAACCGATTTTTCCCAATTTCAATAGAGGTCGTCCTTGGGCCAAATAAGTGAACTGTGCCAAATTTCATCCAAATCGGATCACAAATACGACCTGTACTTTGTTAACAAAAATACATGGACGGACGGACGGACAGACGGACATGCATAAATCGATTTAAAAAGTGATTCTATGCATATTCTCAAAAGGAACCATGTGTCTATCTCGTTTCCTTTTGTCTGTTACAAACATATGCACAAAGACATAATACCCTGTACCACAGGGTGGTGAAGGGTATAAAAAAGAAAAAAAAAATCGGCGCTTAGTGGGTTAAGAAAAAAATGTCAAATTTAAAAAAAAAAAATTAAAATTGTTCATCTAAATATATTCTTATCCAAAATATCGATAAACATACAGTAAAATATCTACTTTTATTTTCTGCGCGCTAGATCTGCATTTTTCCCCACTGTGTGTCCGACTTTTCTACTTTCCTTACTGGTGCAATATGAAATCGCGGAGGATATAAAACTAGTAATTATTATAGACTCAATTCAATAGGTGCATCATTAACATAAAATCTTACGAAGATATATATGGGTTGTGTGTCTATAGCTGTAAAATTTGTGCCAAATTCGGATCATAAATTCAACCAGAACATTGCTTACAATTTAGTATGTACATATATAAATCGACATAGAAAGTAATTACGTATTACAAACATATTTACAAAGATGTCATACCAGATATCATAATAGAATATTAGCCTTACACCAAATTTACTCGAAGATAATTAAAATTCAATCGAACTTCGCGTGTTTCTGGACCGATGTGTTTGGGTCCCAAAGTTTGATTCTTTGGGTCTAGTTTTTAAAGTTTTTCTACCAATTTATTCCACTTTTATATATACGCATATGTGTGGTATTTTGCAACTAAATTGTCTGAAAATAAGCAGAGGTATGATAAGAGTGATTTCAAATATTTGTCGTTTTTAACCATCATTGATATATTAATACCTCCTGATTTTAGGTATTGTGTAGGCAAAACCATTTGGCAAATATTTAGGAGTTTAGGCAGTAGTGGGTAAAAAACTTGTCAACACTATTTTATTGGCCCCATATAACGGTACGACCTTCAGTTTAGTTTAATTTCCCAATTATTAATTTGATGCAGTTAAACTTAAATTGTTTTACGCTTATTAATGGAACTTCAGCTGCATTGAAAATGGACTTATATATAAAACTATATGGGAAAATTATGAATAGAAAATAAATATATAACAAATTCCAAAATAAACAATTTCAAAATTAGATTATTTATCTCCGTAAAAGAAATACAAAATTATTAAAACCTACATTTTCATAAAAAATATTATCAGCAACTAAAAACTTCAATGATAACTTTTAGAATTACATTAGGCAGTAAATGGCTCTTAAATTGATTAATAAATATTAATTATAAAGCCTATTAAATGAATGAATAAATACAAACCAATTAAAAGTTATTCTCTCGGTGTATGCATTAGTAACTGGTTGGCTTCACCACCAACATACATATATATTATTTAATAAAATTTCCAAAACATAACTATTTGACTAAAATCCAATTGCTTATGGATAATCTTATGGAATATTTCGACAAAAAATGGAAATAAATTGAAACAAATTACTTTGCTACTCCTACACACTTATACATATGTATGTATGTACATGTTTTGTTTTTCGTATGTATATATGGAAAACTTATTTACTTATGTATATAAATCTGGGTTTTTGTATTTCATAGTTGGGAGATTTGCTTGTTCAGTTTATTCGGAAATAGTAGTAGTATCAGTAGTTTGACTTTTTTGTACAATCATTTTAAAAATGATTTCCAAATATTTTGTTATTTATTTATTTATTCATTTCACTTAAAACTAGACAGGAATTTATTGTTAATTGTTTTTGCTATTTGTATTTTCATTTGTTTTGTTCATGTTGTTGTTGTTGTTTTTGTTGCTGTTGGTTGTTCATCATAAGTTTATCGTTTGCTTGTTGTTGCTCTTTTTACTTCCCCTTCATCTTCATATTGTTGATTGGTTGGTTGTTATTGTTTCAGTAATGAATTTAAATTTGATTTTTGATTTGAATTGATCCTCTTTTATATACTTTTGATAGAATATAACTTTTTAATTTTATCGTGGATGTTTTAGTTGGGGGTGTGTGTGGGCGTGTGTTTAGTGTGGGTGAGTGATTGTTTGTTTGTGTTTAATTTTTTGTTTTAAGCTTTCTTAATTCCTAAAATGTTAAAATCACATTCAAAAAGTTGTTTACTTAATATAATTTTTTTATTTGTTTGTTTTTTTTATATATATTCATAAAATTTTTAATCAATTTGAGGTGAGACACATTTATTTTGGGTTTAAACACGCGTTATGTTATAATTGAAATGAATAAAGGCATTGTTGTTCGGGTATTTCAGTTTTGTTGTTTTAATGTTTCATTGTGGGATTTCATTTTTTTTTCGTTATAGATTGTCCATTGTAATCAGCCTTGGGCGCCTTTTATTCGCATTTATATACACATTTACCTTAACTGTTTTGTTAATGTTTTTCACCGGGAAAAGCATTTCTTAGTACAGGATATGATAATAAGGGATCTACAAGAAAGAAAAAGGTAATAATTACGAACTAATTAGTTGGTATTAATAATTCATAACAAACACTTATTAGTTTTATGGACAATTTATACATATTTTTGTAATTTATTTTGTTAAAACCCTATAATGATGTCAAGCAAATTTAATACAAATTTAAATATCGGGTTTTCGTCCTCGGTGGCAATTTTTTAACAACATTTTGATATTGGCGTACCCACATGCCTTCATACATTTCCTACTTTGACGAGGATACTAATAAGACATCGAACTGAAAAACTGAGTACTGGTATATTGTTCCTGGCTGCAAATGTTTTAGTTGAGTCCAACCAACTATTAAAGGCACCAACCTCATCATTAACAACATTGGTTGTAATCGAGAGCACTCTACAAAAAATGCTTTGACTCAAATTGCATGGTTTTATAACTTTGCAGAGCTTATTATCTTTACTAAGCTTAGATCAAGTCCGAAGATAGGATCCATTTGTCCACTCTTTCTGGTACCTCCCTCACAAATTGTCAAAATTTTCAATTTTTTTAAATCCAATATCAGGCGAATGGAATGTCCGATATAAACCAAACTTTGATATAAAACAAACTTTGCACAACCTACCTCCCTCACAAGTGGTTAATATTTTAAAAACTTATACATTTAATTTGAAGAGAATTGGATAACGGAATTGTTCAACATTAAATTCGAAACCTCTTTCATAAAAAAATATATAATAGGCTTAATGAGTGTAAATGTTCAGCTATTCATAATATTTTGGGGATACCTATATACCTTGAGCCCTGATGGAGGCTTTAGAGGAACTCGTGGGATGGCATAAGGGTAACTATTAACTCCTAGAGTTACCTAACTGAACAACAACAATTTTCCCTAAGGAACCAATAACTTATAATACATAATAATATAGGCCGATTGAGTAGGGCCCTTACATAGAACTATGTATAAGCCTTTACCACCACGATTTACTGTATTAACAATATCAAACACAAAAATTCAATGCTCAAATGTTGTTGTATATTTCACTGCACTTTTCGTACCCTTCCCGAACAATTTTCTAAAATCCCGTACAATTTTCTTAAATTCAAAAATTCAATGCTCAAATTTTTTGTATATTTCACTGCACTTTTCGTACCATTCCCGTACAATTTTCTATAAACCAAGCCTTATTACACACCTATCAACTAATAATGAGGCACATTCAAAATTTCAAAATCAAGCAACTAGTCTGATTGGTGACAAATTTCCATAAAAAACGGTGAGGAATGTTCAAAAGTAGTACGGGTCCTCCTATATGATACCCTGTATCCAAGATTTCTTATGAACCGGATAAATTTTGGATATTTCGAGCACTTACTTGTTAGATTTAAGACACTTATGAACAAAATAGTACGATAGCGGTGATGGGTAAACAAGTATCCTCTTTTCCTCAGTCATATTTGATGATGTTCTCTCAGTTACGATCTCACACAGTTACTCTCAATTTAGTCCTATTCAACATTGATTTAAGATAAACCTCCCATTACTGTAATGTAATATTCTTAGTTGTCTGTGACATAAAAAATTATTTTAGTAAAAATGTTTGGCAGCCGGTTTGTTGCTTATATAAAACGATACCGTCTACATATAAATGTCATGCCAATAAACCCATGCTGTTTAAACATCTTTGTAATATTTACGCTGCCATTTTCCCTTGTAGATTATTATATTCTTATGTTAACACCAGAATTAAGTAACTCACCGAATTTAACATCACGCACAACTCGTATATTCTGCCGCAATTGCAACACTAGGCTCCGGGCCCCTTTTCTGCTAGGATCATATATTGGCACTCCGCCGTTTACATCGATTGGCCACATATTTTTTGCCAAACAACAAACGCTGGAAGGCACGTCGAAACTCGGGATTGAAAATGGTATAAATGATTGGATTTAGCGTGGAATTAAAATAACCAAGCCATAGGAAAAGCGATGCGACAGCAGCATTAATTTCACAACTTTTACACAGCGACAGTGTCAGAGCCATCACGAAAAATGGCAGCCAACAGACAACAAAGGCGCCCGTAATGATTGCCAGTGTTTGGGCTGCCTTTCTTTCGCGCTTCGCCTCAATTTGCTGACGTCGCTTGGCCAGCTTTTGGTGGGGATTCGTTCCAAGTAGTTGTTGATGTTGTTTGCTATTACCGCCGCCTCCGCCACCACCGCACACAGTGAGGCGGGGTGTTGCAGTGGTCAGCACAATTGCTGTGACGTGCTGCTGAAATGTTGATGTTGTGGCAGCAACCTGCTGCGACACAGTTGAAATCTCCAGAGGCAGGGGCACACGCTATCATGCGATTTTGATGAAAGGTTAAGACAGGGCGGAAATGACAGAAAAAAGAGAAATTGTTTTTTTTTACTGTTGAAGAATTTAATCTATTTCCGCTTTGTCTTTTACTGTTTAAATGCTACAGATTGCAGCGTGACATCAGGGAAGGAGAGAGGAAGAAAATTTTGCATTCTACTTGACGATTTACTTACTTCATCTGCATTCGTAGTTGTCATCTCATCCGAGACATTGGTCAGCTCCGTTCCTGCATGGCTTTTGTCTTCAATATTACTGGTGCTGAATTCCGTTTCCTCTCTGATGTTGGCATTGGAGCCACCGCCATAGTTGTCGCCAGTCGACGAACTGAAACCTTTGTCCGAGGATACATCCTTGCTGAAGCAAATTTTTATGCGCTTCTTTTTCGCCTTTTCCTCGAAATCCTGCAAGAAAAAAGGATGACCATGAAAAGCTGTTGATGTTACAAAAGAGTGGATTACATTTGCATGTTATGGCATGCAAATTGTAGAGAAATATTTATTTTTTCTGCTAAAAACTTTAAGGTATTTTTTTTTACAATTACGCTAGTAATAGCATAACAATTTATTTATTATTCAAATCGTTCTAATCTAATATACGATAGAGATGTTTTCTTCGCCGTCTTCTGTCGAACAAAAGCAGCCAAGCATTTGCCAATTGTTTTCGCATTTCATTGTAATAAACAAAACTTTTGACAAATATTTATGCATTCGCAGAACTATTCACCCTTATTCCAAGATGACTGACATATTGCCTGCAGGTATTTACGTTGAACAAATGTTTTTCTAAAAACTATGAAAACAAACAAAGTTTAGTTTTTCGCTTCTTGATGCCACCCTCCGCCAATGGATGGTGGGTATGAGTGTATTCAATTTGCAATACCGTATGTATAACACCTTGATTGTTTAAGTAAGTACAGTGGTTGTCATATTAATATAAAGCTGGCTTAGCTAACCAACCATCTTTAAAGGAATTTTAGATGAATTTCATACAGAATGCCCCGGATTCTGTTAGCTTTCTGATTTCTAAACGGTTTATTAAAACCGGTTCTTTTCCAGTACCTTTCCCTGCATTGAAAATTTAAAACACATTTTTTATGCCCTTCACCACTCTGTGGTACAGGGTATTATGTCTTTGTGCATATGTTTGTAACAGGCAAAAGGAAACGAGATAGACACATGGTTCCTTTTGAGAATTTGCATAGAATCACTTTCTGAGTCGATTTATGCATGTCCGTCCGTCCGTCCGTCTGTAGATGTTAAATTGTAAGTACAGGTCGAATTCATGATCCGATTTGAATGAAATTTGGCACATGTCATCGGTCAATCGGTTCAGATTTAGATATAGCTCCCATATATATATTTAACCGATTTAATGTAAACGGTCCCTATATATCTTTCGATTTGCACGAAATTTGGTAAAGCCTAATCATTTAGGTCTAGAATGATGTGTGCCAAGTTTCGTGAAAATCGGTCCAGATTTAGATATAGCTCCCATATATAGTTTCGTCCGATTTCATGTAAATCGTACACCAAATTCGCTATATATCTTTCGATTTGCACGAAATTTGGCATAACGTACTGAATTGAGCGTAGAAAGATGTCTGCCAAGTTTCGAGAAAATCGGTCCAGATTTCTATACAGCTCCCATATATAGTTTCGTCCGATTTCATGTAAATGATGCACCAAAGTCGCTATATATCTTTCGATTTGCACGAAATTTGTCATAACGTACTGAATTGAGCCTAGAATTTGTCTGCCAAGTTTCGAGAAAATCGGTCCAGATTTAGATATAGCTCCCATATATAGTTTCGTCCGATTTCATATAAATGGTGCACCAAAGTCGCTATATATCTTTCGATTTGCACGAACTTTGGCATAACGTACTGAATTAAGCCTAGAGTGATGTCTGCCAAGTTTCGTGAAAATCGGTCAAGATTTAGATATAGCTCCCATATATAGTTTCGTCCGATTTCATGTAAATGGTGCACCAAAGTCCCTATATATCTTTAGATTTGCACGAAATTTGGCATAACGTATTGAACTGAGCCTAGAATGATGTCTGCCAAGTTTCGAGAAATCCTCCAGATTTAATAGCTCCCATATATATTTTAGTCCGATTTTATGTAAATGGTGCACCAAAGTCGCTATATATCATTCGATTGCACGAAATTTGGATAACGTACTGAATTGAGTCTAGAATGATGTCTGCCAAGTTTCGTGAAAATCGGTCAAGATTTAGATATAGCTCCCTTTTATTATAGATTGATTTGAAGTAATTGACGAACCAAGGAACCAATAGGCTGATAGGAACAAAACGTTCTGAAATTAGTATAACCTAACCTGTGACAAGTTTGTTTGAAATCGCTTAATATTTGGATAGAGCTTCCATATATATTTTCGCCCGATTTCAAGTAAATTGTGCATCAAACTCCTCATGTTAGTCAGATTGACATCAAAGTTTGCACAACTTACAAAATTGAGCATAGAATTACGTAGTTGCGTTTTCTATAAGTACAGACATAGCCCAACGGATGACCTATTTATATTTGTTTGAAGTCGATTTACATACTTTATGGATAGATCTAGGTAGATTCATATTTAGATAAATATCACATATTTTATTTCATCCAATTTCATGTTAATAGTCCTGTTTAATATACCCATAGTGGTGAAGGGTATCATATAGTCGGCCCCGTCCGACTTTACTACTTTCCTTACTGGTTTTATTTTGTTTTTGAGATATGCCGGCCTTGCAGTAACTGATCGTGATCTTTGTAGTCCCAACATAAAATATTCTGAGCGATTTTTTTAATAGATTTAATACGTTCTGCAAAATTTTGTACTAATAGGTGAAATGTGAACAAAGTTGAGAGTATATTAGATTTGTCATATGCACAGACTTCTAGGATATTTAGTATTGCAAATACACCTAAGTGTTTCCAATTTTGTATTCAACGTTCTCTTAACAGATTTTTTGAGCCTCGATAGATTTTATTTTACGTACGTCTTATGCTGATGTTGGTTGGTCAACACCCATTTAAATTTTTGCTAGTCCGAATCTTTTCACTCCAAATAAATTTAAATATGAGTTTTCCTTAACTGTTGCCTTAACAATTACAGTCAAATGCCCCCAAACATCCATTGTGTTTTATAATTGCTATAGGGCAATATTCCGTCAAATTCTTGGACACAATTTATAAACTTCCAAGAAAAAACATTCCCTTATTTATTGAAAATTGCCAGCAATTTGGCTACAATACATCATAAAAGGTAAGAGAACAAAAGTGTATTGAATCCTTACAATTGAAATGGAGAAAGGAAAAACAACAACAACAATATCCAGAAGGAAACAATTCCAATGAAATGTGATTGAGTAATTGAAATATCCAAAGGGTATTAATTTTCTATGGATTCTTCTCAAATATTGATATATAAACACTGAACAATGAAATTGAAACGAGAAAAACGAATAAACAGGGAACACTCGGTGTGACTGTTTAACATTCATCATTTAAGCAGTCATCTAAAAATAAAGTTCAATACAATGTCTAAAAATATAATAGAATCATTTAAACTGTTATCGATACTGTATACATATGAATTATATTACAAATTATTTAACAGTATTTGTTTGGCAATAGGAGTGGATAAGGATAATTGTCTATGTAGTAATAAAATAACGAAATATTATTTGATATCGAAATGAAATTTGATAATATTTTATTTTAAGGAAATCTTCAATGAGGTGGCTGAAAGTGTAAAGTGACATAAGTTGAACGGAAGTACTATTTGATCGCGAACATCAAAGCATCTTAAATAAGAAAATCACCATTTTACCAACATCATGTAAGAAGGTATGATTGAAAACTTGTTGCAATAAATTTAAGAAAGCGTTTAGAGGATGGAATGATTATATTTGTCGTATACCTAACATTTAGAATACCCATCATCATATCTCCACTAGCATATCAAGACTTTTGTGTGTACAAGTAAAAATGTCGTTAAGGCCGAACTTTTTCAGCTTATAAAAGTAATGTTCCAAAATAACAGACCCTCAGAAAATCGATATGAAAATTCTACTAAAAACTTATAAAGAACGAAAACAGGGCAGATCTTTTTTATTTTGTATAGACAAATTTCCACAAAACTGTGTTCTACCCCAATAGCCCGGAATGCCAAATTACAGGCAATACAATGGGAAATGCGATTAAACCCTTCAAAATACTGTCAATGGGTCGGTTCCTTTATATAGCATTTCCACATTAAATGAAACCTTTTACAAATTAAATGAACCCTTTTCCAAATTAAATGAAACCTTTTCCAAATTAAATGAAACCTTTTCCAAATTAAATGAAACCTTTTCCAATTGAAATGAAACCTTTTCCAAATTAAATGAAACCTTTTCCAATTGAAATGAAACCTTTTACAAATAGAATGAAACTTTTTCCAAATTAAATGAAACCTTTATTCTTATCCAAGGAAATATAATATTTCCAGTAATTTTAAATCAATATTTGAAAATTAAATCAAAGAATATTAACAACTATAGTTGTATGGCTATGTAATTAACATAAATATTCTCTACTTCGGTGTGATTTTATTTTATATCTTTACTTAATAAAACTAAAAAAATAGTAATACAAAATGGGGTATTTCTTGACATTTTTGACAAGGTAACTGCTTATCTTAATGAAGAGGTTCCCGACTTGCATGTCCATAACGTAGTTAGAATTATCTTGCCGAGTAAGCTGTTGAATACTTCGCTCGATTACATCAACAATGTTATGTTCCATTGAAACGTCACACAGCTCAGCTCTTGTACATAATTTTATTTTTAAAAATTGGGTTTACCATTGGAGAATAAGACGGTAAGAATTTAAGGTTGCATCTTTTGGATTCGATCAAATTTTTTATGTCATGTCGCTTGTGTATTTGAGCGTTATCGATTATCAAGACGATTTTCCAACTCTGGATTGATTTCCTCCAAAAGACTTTCTATAAATAATTTAAATCTGTCTGCATTGACACTGGAATTAGAAATGATTGTGTGATTAATATGCATTGATCGTTGTTGGGGTATCCATTTTGTAAAGTCTTGAGCATATTTTTGTCTCAAGCCTAATGTTCTGGAGTCATTCATTCAGTAGAGTTTTGTATAGGTAGCCATACACAATTAAATAATTATGAGCTAACCTGATTTTAGCTCGGAACCTGAAGAAGAATCTATAACCTCGCCAAGTATTGCAAGTGGCAATGCTCCAGAACCTACCGAAGCTACATCTACAAGACCCCGAAACAAATTGGGTCAGTATAACAAAATAATAAAAGACATGAAATTTTTATTATGTAAATTGTATGAAGAGGGTAGAACAATTTCCGAGACTGCAAATTTAACCTGCATA